AGAATTCCAAGACATCTTGATGCTTCCCTAACTTAATAAATGACACCACCACTCACAGTTACTCAGACCAAAACCTGAGAGTCATCCTGAATTTCTCTCCTTTCTCACCCTTCACTCAACCCATCAACCAGTCTCGATTAATCAACCTTTAATCATCCATCCCAGTCTGCCATCTCCATAGCTGCCACCTGGGCCAGCTTACCAACATCTCTCACCAGGGCCACAGCAGGAGCCCTATAAATCACCTCACTGCTTTCCTTGGCCTCAGGGCCTAAAAATCTGAGTATTCCTAAAATATAAGTCAGATTACACATCCTCTTTAAAGCCCTCTAATGACTTCTGCTCATACTTAGAACAAAGTTCAATGTCCTTGCTGTGGCTCCCAAAGCCCCAGATGACCTGACTTGATGTCTTTTGAGAACTCAACTCCCACTGCTCATTCCTTCTTTCAGTCCACTTTACCATGATCTTCACCTTGATTTTCATTGGTCTCCAATACCCTAAGATATATTAAATGAATAAAAAGATACATGTGTAATATAATATCAGGTCACACAAGTTTTGTCAAGAAAAATACCACAGGTGAGAGAGGGTAACACTGGCCTAAGTCTCTTCCTTTGTCATTCCTACCACCTGGACTCTGCTCACACCACCTGCATCACCACTATCAGCAACACACATATATCTTCATGACTTGATTTTTGTGCTTTATTTTGTTCTGTGAGTATACTGAGTGTCAGTTACTGTCCTAGACACAGGAGGTCCAGCAGGGGGATAAAAACAGACAATCCTCCCTTTCCTTTTAGAGCTTCCAGTCTACTTGGGGATCAGACAACAGACAAGATGAATAAGTAAAATATGGTGTGTAATAGATGATAGTAAGTGCTAAGGGGGAAAACAAAGCAAGGAAAGGGGATAGGAAGTATCTTTGTTGCATAAGGTAAACATGAGTTTTACTTTTTTTTTATTATAAAGATGTAGGGTACAATTCAGGGTTAGATATACAAACATTGATTATGCAGGTACCCTTCTTGATGAGGTATGCCCCTCCTTCCCCTAGCAGTTTTCCTCAACTGCCAATCCCACCCCCTCTCCCCTAACAGTTTCCCATTACTGCCAAACACTTTCTTATTATAATTGTTCAAGGTCCACTTATGAGTGAGAACATATGGTACTCTGTTCTTTGTTTCTGTGATAGATCACTGAGTATGATCAACTCCAAATCCATCCAAGTTGCTGTGAAGTCCATATATTTGTCCTTCTTTTTGGCTGCATAATATTCCATTGTATATATGTACCACATTTTCATTATCCAGTCCAGTTTCAGTGGGCAGCATGGTTGGTTCCATGTTCTTGCTATTGTGAATAGAGCTGCAACAAACATACGTGTGCAGGTATCTTTTTTGTAGAATGATTTTAGTTCCTCTGGGTATATTCCAATAGGGGAATTACTGGGCAAAGACCTAAATGTAAAAACTCAAACTATAAGAATCTTAGAAAACGCAGGAGACACACTTATGGAAATTGGAACTGGCAACCAACTCCTATTCAGAACTCTAAAGTCCAATACCTTAAGAAATAAGATAGACAAGTGGGACCTCATCAAACTAACAAACTTCTGCAAAGCCAAAGAAACCATTAAGAGAGCAGGGAGGCAGCCCACAGAATGGCAAAAAATATTTGCCAACTATACATCTGACAAAGGCCTAACATCTAGGATCTACAAAGAACTCAAACACACTGCAAGGAAAAAAACAGCACCTTTAAAAAGTGGGCAAAAGACATGAATGAGTTGCACTTTTAAGTAGAGGGGCCGAGGATGGTTCCACTGAGGGGATGCGTGAGAAAAGACTAGAAAAAAGCAGGGAGAACAAGCCCTTCTGTAGCAGACAACAAGCCAAAGACCTGCGAGGAGTGTGCTTGGCTTATTTGTGGAAAGGTGGCCAGAGAGGAGAAAAGGAGGATGTGAGGTGAGAAGAGAGAGGCAGGTCAGATTATGCAGGAATTTACGTTACTCTCTCTTTCACCTATATTATTTTTCTTCACAGAACTTCCATGATTTGATATTATATTACATATTTATCTTTTTTAAAAAATTTACTGTCTCTTTCTGCCTCACCAGAAAATAAGCTAACTAAAGGGAGGACTTTGAACTGTTCACCACGGTGATGTCTGACCCACACTAGGAACTTGATGTTATTGGATAAATTAATGAGTGAAGGGGAGGGGCCTAGAACTAATGCAAACAACTTCTTTTGGCAGAAAGGCATTTACTAGTCTGATAGCCTTCATGGATCCTTGATAACAATAAGTGCTTGAGGTAGGCTTGAAGGAGGGGTAGAGGAATAGAAGAAAGGAGACCAGATAAAGTGATATCATCCCAATCGTAAGCTTCTTTGACAACAGCTAAATTATCTAGGTGTTACACAGCTGCCTGTAGTGTATTCTTTTTTTCAACTCTCTAACTTATGATTTATTTATCTTCTTAAGTAGATACTTTACAAATCTAAGCATGTGGTATTATGCTGATTCATTGAATCCCTTGGAGAACTGACAAATTCCACCCTGCTCATTGTTAACATAATTTTAATTAAGGTGTCTTAAACCCCATGTTAAGACTTAGCTATAATCTCATTTACTGTGTGGGAGGTGTTATCTGTTTCATGATTTAGGTAAAAATCGTAGGAAAGAGATATCTTCAAACTGCAGAGTACGAGACACAGTTAAGTCTCAGTGATTGAAGAACATTTCTGTAATGAAGTGAATTAATGTATGTGAAAGAACTTTGTTAAGTAAGATCAAAATATACAAGTAATGTCATTGAAAAGACAACTGCATGTCTTCTTGTCTTGAAAAAACTGAGCACTCAAAGCTACAACTATTTTGTAATATAAGGAAGAAGCATCCTATAAAATCAGATATTTATACTGTGTTATTTAAGAGGAAATACTGTAGGCTGTGAATTGTTTATCTAAAAATCTTTTAAACATTTCAATGCTTTCTATCTAAAAAATAAAGAAAATACAGGAAAGAAAAAAAGAGGAATCTCTCCTGTAATAGAGACGGTAAAACTTTGTACAAGGAACATTTTTGGGATGAAGAAGCATGTCTAGCCCTGATGGAAATAGTCCTAACAAGGCAGAGCTCATAGCAGAGAACTGTAAACAATAGAATACAAAAATAATTAATTTCCTGAGGCTGTGTTAAGAACACCATCAACAAAAATTAGCTTCTGGGAGTTCTGTCATTTTTGTTAACTTTGGATACTTTCATCTTGTCTGATTTCTTTATAAGGAAAAGTTACCAAAGAAAACGAACACTTCTTGAGTATAATCATCATGGATTATAACAAAATGGCTAAATTTAAAGGCATTAAATAGTTTCTCTTACAAGCTTTTCTGTGGTTGCTATTAACTGTTGTTGAAAATAGTCTATGCTGCGTATATACTGTTCAAAACAATATTTAGTTCAAAGATGGAGACACTTAATATCATGTAGATTTTCTTTAGATATCAGCATATCAGAAGAAAACTTTAAATTTTATATTGCATCAGAAATAAAGCATACATTTTAAAGTTACTTTCAAGGTTTTTACAAAATGAATCGTAAAAATATGCACTTTGATTACTTCCTGGAGTATGTACTTATTTACTGTATAAATATGAAAATATTTTGAAATAAACAAAAGTAGCTTAGAAGCAGCTTTATTCCACTAGGTTTTTCTTTCTCTTGATTTGGATAAAATAGAAAATGGCAGTGATGGACAGCTACACAATTATTTCGTTGCCAAGCTATATGTGTGCCCATTTAACCTGCTTACTGACAGAGCAGTTTCCAGAATGCTATGTAAAAAACACTCCTTTGTTTCCTTGGAAGGTAGACATCCTCTCTATGCAACGTTTGTTTAGCAGGTGGGAGGGGGTGGGAAAGGCAAAGGGTACAGGCACAAGGAGTAAGCTCCAAAAAACTTGACAGCTCCATGCCTTACAGCAGGTAACAAAGATGGGGGAACAGTTGCATCTCAGCGTGTATTCAGGGGTCCTAGATCAAGGAGCTTCTGCCTTATGCATGCCTTCTCCATTTTCTTTTTTAACTGTGTTTTCCTCCACCTTCTCACAGATTTACAAAGTACATAAAGGGTGCATTTTGTGTGCCTTTGTGTGCCAAAGGGCATAAGTGTACACATTCTTTCTTTGTGTCCCTGTCTTTATATCTCTTTCTCTGTCTCTGTTTCTCTCTCATTTAAAGAAGTATATTCCCAAAATGTAAGTTTGAGCCTTGTAAAATAGATCCTTCAGTATTCCCAAAGTGATGACTGACATGGCTTAGGAGAGGCATACTCTGCTTTCCTCCACCCATCCATCCCCACCCTCTCACCTACCCAGTCACAGACCCACATCTGCTCACTCCAGCTGCCCTTGCTCCTGCATTCAACACATTAAGGCTCCGTACCCCTTTCAGGCAGCTTCGCTGGGTTTCTGTCAGTAGACAAGACATCCCATCCCCCAGCAGTCCAGGTCAGCTCTCCATCCCCATATTCTTACCCATCACGCTTTGGGCCCCAGGCCCCGCCCTAAACTTCCCCAAATTTTAATTGCACTGATGTTGTATTCCTACTTTTATCTGCTTTGCAGCAACAGGGGCGTGATAATCCTTCTCAAAACAATAGAGGCTCCATGGCTGTTGTGGTGAATCAAATACTTGACTCATTTGTTGTAGACAAATGTTCATGTAAGATATCAATTTTTTAAAAAATTTATATAAATATTAGTAGAAATATAAACATCTCTTTGAATAAATGATAGGAGTAAACATGACAATGATAATGTAGTCATCCTTGAGATGCGTGCCAGTATCATTTTCTCCGTGTATGTGTCACTTTACTGCTGGGAACATTATGATCTCTTTTCTAATGTGGGCACCGTCCGTCAGGGTCTTTTCTCAACCTTGTGATATGTCCTATGGTTTTGTACGTTTTAAATAAAGAGCTTGTTTTTCAGGTTTCAGATAAAAGTGACACTGATGTTTCACTGAAACAAGAAAGAAAGGAAATTCTTCTTATAGACAAAGGTAAAAAAAAAAAAGAATTCGGTTTCTATATTAGCTATAATGTTTGAAACATTTTCAGTATGGCTTATTTGACAGCCTGAGATACAGATCAGAAGTTTGTTGGCAATTTGTATTCTAAAAACTGGGATTAGTGGAGAGAAGAGGAGTGGAGAGAGAAGGAGCTGCCAACCACATGTGTTTTGTTGGGGCAGAGAGATACTTCCTGGCTGGGGATAGTGCCCCCAGCATTGCCACCCTGCCTGAAATTCTCATCTTATGCCACTTTCTTCCTTGAGTTCCATTTTGAATTTTGCTGAGAGTTGATAATAGGTCTATAATTTTCAGAATCCATTTTGAAAATTATAATGATGACAATCCCCTATTTTCAGTCTTTTAGTCCCTTTCCTGCTTTTCATGGTTCCTCTGAGATTCCCTAAGTGTAGTTCAACAAATGCATTTATTAGTTCCTTCATGCCATGGGATGTAATGTGTCTCAAGTAAAAGAGTTGAGCTTATTTAAAGCATTAAGTGCCATCTTGTAATAGTCAATCCAATAATAATTTCCTGGGCAGAGAGACTGGAAACAAACTGGACTCAAAATATTTTATTTTCATAGTGTTCATTCATTGTTGTTACTCTATTCCTTTTACTATGTATTATAATATTACTATTACACAATTCTCTATTTTATTTTCATATATTTTATCATTTGCTAAGAAACCTATCCATTATTTTCATCACCATTGTCATATTTTGAAAGGAGTTTAAAGTCCTTCTTAGTCTCCTTAGTAAGTCTCGGCTCATGTGGTCTCATCATTCCCAATCTTTAGTTGCGTTGATCCATGCCATCATTCTGCATTCTCATTTGGTGGTAAGCTCTTCCTTCCTTCACACTTTGTTGCTTGGGTAACCTAGTCAGTTATTCACTGACAACTTTATGTTTGAACCCATTATTGAGGTCCCTAAAAATCACACTTTTTATTTTTCATCTTAATTGCAATAACTTACAATTTCACAATCAGGATTTCTTTTGTAAGAGTCTCTTCATTTTAAATCCAGTATTTTATAGACTTTTCAGACTATTGCTGTGATTTCAAGTACAGTCCCGTTGGGTTTCCAAATTGTACTGGAAAAATTGCTAGCACAATTTGATCTTAAAACTAATACTTAATTTCAAACACTCATCCTAGATTTGACTGGAACAAATTGTGAAATACTTTCAAATGACAATAGTTATGAATTAGTTGGTGGCTGGGTTACAAATTTTCACTTTGCGTACAAGTCAGTGAGTAATACCAATGGTACCTACAGCATGCTTGAACAAGCCCTATCTGTCCATTCTTTTTTATATTTCCCTTAAAAGAGTCAGATCCTCGACCATTTACCCCCCATCTAAAACTTACCTTGTTGCTGTTCTGTTCTACGTGACCTTCAATAACTCTAAACCTGTTGACAAAAGTTTACTTGGTGGAACAACATGCCTGAGCAGTTATAACAAAGAATTCTAGAGATAGATGGACAAAGGACACATTGATTTGTTGTTTATACTGTCCCAAGACACTCTTAAAACCAATCTCAGTGCATCATAGGATTTCTACTTTGCTGTGGACTGGAAACAAATCAACAAAACTCTCTGAACTTATAATTCTGAGGTTCCCTTTTTCCCTGAGAAGACCAACTAGCTTATTCTAGGTCGCCTCATGCTTTAAAGTTCAGCTCCCTACTGGAGTCCCTTTTTTAAAAAAAAATTGGAACCTGTCAGAATGTCTTTGAACCTGAACCCCAAATGGGAGAGAGTGGGAGTCTAGAGGGAAGATAGTTATTTAAGCAGAGTAGGGAGTCTAAACGGTCTAATAGTCATCCCTGCACCAGTATATAAACATCAATTTAAAAATTCCTGAAAAAAGAAGCTACAGAACCTTTTGGATTACTATATATGCTATCTATACTTTATAAAAGAACATTATGAACTACCTCAAGAACGTATTTTAAATTGCTTTCAATTGGTGGAATTTTATAAGTGGATATTGGAGTGCAAATCCAAATTATACCCTGGTAGTTAATGAACTACTCACATTTCTTTTGGTTTGGTGATCATCCAAATGTGATTGTTTTGTCTATGTTCTTTCAAAGAAAAACAGGAGCCATGCAGTGATGCTCCTGTGATGGAAACAAGCTCTTCATTACCTAATTGGAAAAGGTGAGTGCACCACAATTATACAGATTTCAAGTGAGAGTGCAGTTATACTGTTGAAAAGTATTTATCAGTGTTTAAATACAAGAAGAAGGAAAATAACAGCAACAAAGGCAATCAAGAATGGAACCAAATATCACAACGGAGACAAAAAAAAAAAAAGAATAGAAATACACCTTTTCCCTAAGCCGTTTCATTTCTTTTGTGAGGATTTAGGAATAATGGAATGGAGCAGGCTTAACTTCCTACCCACAGCAAGTTACCAATTCAAATTACTGCAGTATAGTTGAAGGACTGAAAATGTCAGGTGCATAAAAGGTATGACTAAGGAATCGTGAACTGATTTGTTTTCTCCATGGTTCATTATCATATTGTCATACATACATGTATTTATAGTCATTGCATGCTTTAATTTTCTTGACATGAGAATTTTGTCACTTTAAAAATAAAAGCAGCTGAATATTTTGGATGTACAGTAGAATTAAAGGAATGTTTTTAAGGACGCAAATTCTTATCCTCTACTACAAACCATCTAAGCCATTTTCCAAGACATTCAGACCATCTCTCTGAATCCAAATCCTCATTCTTCTATTCCAAAGCCTTTTTATCCCCCACCACTTCAATGGTAAGTTATAAATTCCTTGGATGACACAAATCCTTCTCTCTCCTGCCTCTATTTGTAGCTCTCACTTTGCCTCCCAGAGGTTCTGAATTACTTACAGTTCTGTTTTATCACATCTTCTCTTGGTTGTCTGTATGACTTCCTTTACCTGTCTACTCTCTGCAACTCGTCTACCAGTCTCAGTTCCGCTTTCACTCAAGTCAGGTCAAGTGTTCCCTTCTTTGGGGTCTCCCTGACTCTCCCAGGCAAACTCAGATATTTATAGAGCTACTATTGCAGTGATCAGATTGTATTATAGTTTGTTCACCTTCAATAATAACTTGTTAAATACCAACTGTGTTCTCACACACTGTGGTGAGCAGTGATTCACAGTCAAGTGGAATTGTCGATTTGATTGTCTTCCCATTGCACGCAAGCTCCTTGAGGGCAGGGGTCATGTCTTGTCTTCCTCACAACTCTAAGCCTCTGAGGGTCTTTCCTGATGACTCCATCTAAAATAGCCCACCCCATTTCTGACAAACCACACACTCTCATCATCCTGTTTCATTTTTTTCAAAACACTTATTGCTATTTTAAGGTATCTCATTTACTCATCTATTTCTTTTGCCATTTTTAATTCTAGCTTACTTATTTTATCTGTTTTCCACTGGAAGCTAACTCACTCCATGAGAGCAGGGACTGTCTTATTTAAACCTGTGTTCCTTGTATCGAGAATGGCACTTGACTCATAGTTGGCACTCAGTAATACTTGTTGATTGACTAAATTATGTGACTTTTCCTGCATGCTGTTGTTAGACCTTCTCATGGCCAATGCTTTAACCTATCATTATTTATTAAAAATTAAGATTCATCTAAAACCTAAAACACATTTGTGTGTATGCATTGTTTCATATAATACCTTTAAGTCTTTATGAGATTATGAGGTTTTTTTAATTGCTGTTTTTAAATCACATATTATGCAAGCATAATATGAACTACAATCCAACTAAAACAATCCTAATGAAAGAACCTTATCAAATGCTTTACTAATGGTGATGACAAAGATGATTATGATAATAATAATAATTAGATACTATTTACTGAGCACTTACACCAAACATTGAGCTAAATTTTTTGTGTATCCCATTTAATCCTCAACACAACTCCATTAGGTATGCCCCATTTTTATTAGACTGAAGAAACAAAAGTTTGGAGAAAAATCTTCTGTTCTGGTGTAGGGCCTTTTCCCTTCAACCCCAGTACCAGCTTGAATTTCCAGGATCCCTAAAATGGTTCAAAGAAAAAAAAGACTTTCTTGATAAGATTTCAGCATAAAGAAGGTTATGACTAATGAGCATTCAGACACTGTGTAAGTATTCTTTAACAGAAAATTAAGCATTGGTTTATATAATGTTTTTAATCTTTAAAAAAATCAGCTGAAGTTATTCAGTGTAATTAATGCCAAAGAACTGCTGGCAGTAGATGTGCTTTCCATTTGATAGAAACTATTATCCAATTTTAAAGGTCCTCACAGTACAAACATGCAAAAAAACAAAAAACAAAAAAAAAAAAACTCTTTACAGCTGTGAACCTAATTTTTGGATGTCAATATGAAAGGATTACAAAAATCTCCTTTTTTACTTGACAAACGAAACACTGCATGATTTGACCCCTGCCCACCTCCCCACCAGGGTCATCTCCCATATTGTCCTGCCTCCCAGCCCTTGTGTACTTGCTTGTTCCTACAGTACTGGAAGCTTTAGTCCCATCAAAATACAACACTACGTTATTCAACCTTACCGTGAGTTGTTTTCCTGCAACCGGGTCACCTGGCTCCCATGGTAGTGTCCACTTTGCAGAGAAACCTTCCCACCTGAAACCCTCCCACGGTAGTACCCACTTTGCGGAGAGGAAACCGCAGCTCCCTTCCCAGGGCCATGGTCCCAATGCTGACCTCTCTTATTCACTTCACTCTCTGCTTCTTGCTCACTCCCCTCCAGCAGATTTGAACACTTCTGCCTCCAGATTATGACTCAATCTCTCTCTCAATGGACTTTGTTCCTTTTTTGTTTTATTTCTGTGCATTTTCTCTCAGACTAAATAGAACTTTAATTTAAAAGTCTCTTTTATTTGTGGTTAAGTGATTTTCTCTGGTAGTAGACTTTAATATGTTGCCTCTTATTTTAAGTGTGTTTTTTAAAAATAAGTTTTTGTTTTGTGGTTACTGTGAAGCTTACAAGAAACATAACAAGCTAAAAAGTCTCTTTTAGCAAATAAGAGGCAAGGAGTATATGACTCCTGTTGTTAAGAATAAATTATTACCAATTTTATTCCATTGTTACCACACAGAAACCTTGAAACAGTGTATGACAGGAATAAACAGAAACTCTTCTAATTAAGAATTGATGTTATCCAACCACAGAGGTGGCACTTTTAAGCCACCTCTGTGGTTGGATAACATCAATTCTTAATTAGATGTATGTTCTTGCTTTCATTTGTTACGCATTAACATTTTGCTCACTGTATTATTGTTTCTAAAGTTACAAGGAGGGATCCAAAAATACCTGAAATTTATTTATAAAAAATTATGTGTTTATTATTACATGTTTACATCTCAGTCACCTTCAAATACTCTCCATTTGATGCAATACACCTATTGAGATGCTTTTTCCACTGCTCAGAACAGTTTTTGAACCCATCAATTTTGATGTCTTTTAGTGCTTCTGTTGTTTTTTGTTTTACCTCTTTTATATTGGCAAAACATTTCCCTTTGAGAACCTTTTTCATCTGTGGAAACAAAGTCGCTTGGGACACAATTGGGTGAATAGGGAGGATAGGGCACAGGTGTCTTGCTGTTTGGGGTCAACAACTGCTGAACTCTAAGCACAGTGTGGGTCTTTATGGTGTCATAGTAGAAGAACCAGTTACCTGTTTGCCACAACTCGGGACATTTCTTCTGTAACACAGACTCTCACAGCAACATCAGCTGGTACACTGATGCCAGTGGGTTCCTAGAACACTTACCTAGTGCATTCCATTTGACATAAACTATTATTCAATATAGAGGAAGCCTATACTATGAGGGATCTGCCCTCCAGAAGATAATTCCAGTTTTGGGGGGGGATCCCCTTTTATATTAACATCTGATGTGATTCCTAATTTGAAATCATAATCCTCAGCTTGCCCAGTGTGCCTCTGGAAGATGTAAATCTAAATTGTGGACACAAAGGAAAGGTTTCTGTGAGTGGCAATTGTCAAGTTGATTCTTCATTGACAACATCTTCTTCAACCATATCTGTCAAGGAAATAGTGAGAAAACTGACATCTAACTTAAGGTAAAGATATTTACTCACACATTTCCACATGCTTTGTTGAACTTTCTAAGCAGTGACAACTTCTAGGCTTTTTTCCCTACTGGTAACATTATTTAATAAATTCAATAGAATGACTATGACTTATCTCAATTATGCTAATTTAGATATACTACGGGCTAAATATCTCTTGAAATAGAACTACAACCACTAACTGCTTGTCATGTGTTCCATCAGTATGGTGGATGTTAGTCCTCTCTTAAATGTCATAAAGAATTCTTACTGAATTTTCCTTGTTACCTTTTTTTTTATTCCCACAAAAACTCTCATGATATTTGTGTGGCCTTTTGAAATCTGTTTTTTGTTTTGTTTTGTTTTTTAGTTTTAGACGCTGAACTTTCTCAGGGAAAGTGAGTTTTACTTGTTCTGTCCAGTGTGGAATGTTAACATTTGTGTACGTGGTTATTTGAGGAATGTAGATGTCTGGGTCTCAGTTCTTAAAGAGTAGAAACAGGGAGGGAGTAAAGTTTAAGATTTAGGGTTTTTCCAAACAGGGACTGATGATAGGAGGGGACTTTACAATCAATCAAAGAAGTATGAATACAGAAGAGTGCTCTAAAATAGGTGTCATATGGGAGGGTGAGGGCTGGGTCCACTGGCACCACTAAATGAGCATACTATATCGGTTTTGTTGGGGTTCACAGACTTTTGTTAGGTTTTGGGAGGCCTGTGTAGAGTGAGAGGCTCTGGGCTGAGGAGAACACACGACATGCCCTAGCTGGAATTGGGGTCTCACTCTGTTGCCCTTCTTGGCTCAGGGGATCCTTCTGCTTCAGCGTCCTGGGTAACTGAGACTACAGACGTGTGCTTGTAGGGACAAGATATGGCAGTGTTGCTTAGGTTGGTCTCAAACTTCGGGGCTCAAGCACTCCTCCCTCTTCAGCCCCAAAGTGCTGAGATTACAAGCGTGAGCCACTGCACCTGGCCAGTAGTTATCATTTTTAATCCTTTATTATACTTCAGACAGTCACCCAAATATTTTTTTATAAATTAATTCCTTATTCTCACAAACTTCCAAGGTTGGTATTATGAAGATGATAAAGCTCAGAGAAACTAAGTAACACATCTAAAGTCTCATGGACAATTATACTACAACTAAGGACATGGCTGGGTTTAAGCCCAGCTCCCTAATTTCCAATCCATGCTCTAAACCATATACAGTATATGGATTTTCCTCTCTCTACATTAGGAGACCTGGAGAGTGTATTACGGCAGAGTTTGGATGCATAATGACTTAAATTTCTTTTCATTTACACTTTCTTTTTTAAATTTATCATTTTCCTTCTTTTTTGATTGGCTAATTTTTATTATTCACCCGAATGTAACACTTCTCTTAATTTTAATAAGTTACATGTGATCAAAGAGGGGATAATCTGATTGAGTGTACTAAGGCTCTAAAGTACATTCACTTCTTTCATTAGGCATCGATAGAAAATTAAACTTTCCCAGAAACCATCTTCCTAATGAACATGGAGACTCTCTGTTGTTTAGAATCATTATACTGTCATCAACTGAGCACTTGAAAAGCCAAATATATTAATATATCAGCTCTGTTCTGTACCAGCTTACATCTTCTGAAGTGATTGTTTTATAAAAAAACATTTCATGGAAAAAGGTTGGGCAGAACACAAGGCTTTAACGAAAATAAAATGAGCTGCTCATCTGACCAGTTTTTTCTCTTGCCTTTAGCAACATTGCATGCATTTTCTCACATTTCATCAATGAAAACAGAGTACTTGTTGTCTTTGTTAGGTGTTTTTGTTGTTATTGTTTTTGGTTTTGTACTGCATTATTTGTTATTTTCTATCTGGTCTGCAAGTTATTTCTTGAAGTAACGATATTAAATTCCCCAAGGCATGAAGATTGTGGCTAACAGTGTACAAAGTAGAGGGACAACGTTCTTTAAACCGAGACTTGCTCACAATATTTACGTTGCTTGTCACTGATAAAAAACAGTGATCTTTTAAGTGTGTAGAGTGTTTCCTTAGACATGGCATCATCCTTCACACTTCCTACAGTCCCAAAGTAGGGTCCAGCCACCTCTGTTTAATTAATGTTAGCCTAATCAATTAATTTAAAATTTAGTTTTTATTGTCCATTTTTTCTTACCTGATCATATTCAGTTTGGCATTTTCCTGTCCTGTTATTTCTTGATTTATGTGTATTTGTTTATTTAAACCCCTCATAAAGATGGGATTTTTCAAACAGTTTGATGTATATTAACATATATTTAAAGGATATTTTTAATTTAATTAAAAGGGATTAATATAAAAATCAGGGATTAGCAATACTACTAACAACTATTTCTAGACATTAAAATATTTTGGGGGGGCACACCTCATTAACAAGGGTATCTGCAAAATGAACATTTGTGTATCTGACCCTGAATTGTACCCCACATCTTTAAAATAAAGAAATTAAAAGTTAAAAAAATAAATAAAATAAGACATTTTTAAAAATTTCAAATATTAGGGTACAACTGAGTTATGTTAATTAGTAGTAACTAAGCTGAAATGGGATCCAAACAATTAAATGTTATCAGATGGTCTTGAATATTGGAGTAATATCAAATTTCAAGTCACTTTAAATAATAAAAATACTAGCAATAATATAATTAATAATAGATATCTGTTAGGCACTTACTTTGTGCCAGGCATAGTCCTAAGGGCTTTCCATATGTTAGCTCACTCAAACCTTACAATAATCCCATAAATAGATACTTTTATTATCCCCATTTTGCAGATGGAAAAAGTGAGGTATATAGACGTTAAGTAATTGCTTAGCATTATATAACTCTTAAGTGGTAGAGCAGGGATTTGAATCCTGGCAGTCTGGTCTCAAGTATGATGACTTGTTTTAGGCTGTCATTATAGTATGTACATTTGATAAGGCAGACTTCATTTATTTCAACTGTTATAAAAGCACAAACATGCTTTGTGCTAATCTTAGATTTTAAAACTACCAAAAATACGTTTTAAAAAGAAAGTCACTTTTTAAAGTTCCTGCCAGTTGCAAAAGAAAAGGTCATGAAAAATACATGCACTGGCAATTGAGATCTGACAGAAACTTTCTGGCTTTAAAAAGTGGGATTGGAGCCAGGCTCGGTGCTCAGTCTGTAATCCCGCGCCTTTGGGAGGCCGAGGTGAGTGGATTGCCTGAGCCTGAGGGTTCGAGACCCGCCTGGGCAGCGAGACCTCATCTCTACAATAAATCAGAAAAATCAGCCGGGCGTGGTAGCGCATGCCTGTAATTCTGGCTACTCGGAAGGCTGAGGCGGAAGGATCGCCAGAGCCCAGCAGGCGAGGCTGCAGTGGCCGGGAGCGGCCACTGCACTCCAGCCTGGGCAACCGAGTGAGACTCCAACTCAAAAAAAAAAAAAAAAAATGGGATTGTACCATTTCCAGGTCACCCTGGCTTTTCACTGGGTTGAGCAAGAGCACGTTAGTCAATCTCCTTAGGAGGCTTGCTCTTCTCCTTAGCCAGAACTAAGCTAATCACTCAGGTTATTGTTAAAAAGAACAGCTGGAGGACCAGGTACATCAGTGGATCGATGCCCGTGTCTGCCATGTTTAGAAGGAGTGGAGTTGTGCTAGAGCAAGTCAGAGATTTTTCCTCGTGAAAAATTACTTTGCTGACAAAGGAATATGACTATGGGATAAAATGGAAATGGCCCTTGGCCAGAACTTTTCAGAGCTTGGCCATCATCTATAAAGATAGTGCTGATGGAGTGTTTTAGCTCATTTTGTTGAACCCTATAAAAACTTCCAATTCAAATTTGCAGATGTGGAAATGGAGTCTTCAGAAATTCAACTAAGATGAGCATCATAGTCAAGGTCCTGGATGCAAGTAATAGCTCTGAAAGAGATCTTTTGGATATGTAGTTCTTGAATTCTTAAGAAAAAAAAGCCATGTTAAACAAATTCCTGATTTTATTATCAAGTCTGGGAATAATTTTGAGTAATTACTTCGAAGAAAGGGTTATTCCTGTCCCTAAGTGAAACAAGAGTCCAGTTAAAACGGCAGCACTTGAGTCAGGAATCCCAGTCCCCAAGATATATCCCAATCTACTTGATTCAGGAGAATACTAGGAATGAATGTTGGTTTATTCCTGTAGGTTTACACTTTATGTCTCCTGACCCACCTCCTTGAAATGTCCTTGGGGATTAGAGGTTCGCTATATCTGTCTAAAGGAAACCTGAAGTTTGAGGGTAGAGAGAGGTTTGATAAGATGTGCTTTCAAGAACAAGAGAAGACATCACTGAACATTACCACTGAAGAAAGGAACCCAAGACAAAAACTGAAGGAATTTTTTAAGAGTTCTTAAAGATCTACAGTCACATCCTATATGTATGATTTTTGATATCTTAACAATTTTTTTTTTTAATCTGAGTCTCACTGTTGCCTTGGCTGGATCGCAGTGGCACTATCGCGGCTACCGCAGCCTCAACCTGCTGGGCTCAGGTGATTCTTCCGCCTCAACCTTCCAAGTATCTGGAACTACAGGTGCAGGCCACCATACCTGGATAATGTTTTTATTTATTGTAGACATGAGGTCTCGCCAGGTTGCCCAGGCTGGTCTCAAACTCCTGTACTCAAAGAGTCTTCTTGCTTCAGCCTCCCAAAGTGCTGGGATTACAGGAGTGAGTCACTGAGTCCAGCCTGTATCTTAACAATTTTTGTTTCTTTCACAGTATCTAATAGTTTTTCTAAATTGATTTTGCAGGAAAAGAAAAAGGTCTGTGTGTTTGCATTTAGAGGCTGCACGTTGCTGGATAATTTGTCTTCCTCTCTTGTCAGTTTTGTGGAACAGAGTCTCCAAGGGAGAAGCTATTTAACAGCAACTCAGTGTAGAAGAGAGTAAAAGGCTAAATACCAGGGAGTTTGGGAGGGAGACAGACACAGAAGAAGGGTACAGGGAAGCCAGATACCAAAGACAATAGGAGTAACTCTTCAATCAAAGAGTTTCTGTAAAGATTTCATGAAATTATAGATATAAAACATATAACAGTGCTTGGTACATTTCTAGCGCATTATATGGGGATAGATGGATTTGTGTTAGCTTAGATTTTTAAACAGCCAAAAATAAGTTTTAAAACCAAAGTCAGATATTTTACCAAAGACAAATAATGAATTCTGAATTCCCTGGTGTTTAATACAGGTGGCCTGGAATATTTTCTTCATATGCCACCATCCCCCCACTTGGCTAACTCCTATTCTTCCTTTGGGGATCCCCAAATATGAGTTAGGGCCTCTCCTTTCGGTACCTGTGGTGCTTTCTTGTCATTACCCACTAAGCATTTGTCACATGGTATAGGAGTACCCTGCTTTCTTGTCTGGATTCCCTCCTGGCCGAACCAGTGCAGTGAGAATGTATTGGTTTCCCAGCATGGGGACACAGTAACAGGCTCTGTGGGGTACCACAGAACAAAGGTGCTATTTTAGTAGGGGCTTAAGGAGTATCTGTGGAATGAGTGAGATTGGGAAAATTTCTGCTACTGTGATTTCACCACGGGTTTACATGAAATTGTGTTTAACTTATAATGTGATTTATTATGGATTGATTTTTAGATGTAATAGTACGTGTGTAAGACATAATTCAACTATAGGTGATGTTTGATGGAGACCTTGACATACAGACACCACGGATTGAGAGTAATCTAGAATGAATCCGGCACTTTTCTCTCCCCAACCTGCTGTTGTATCTTCTCCCACTCCCCAGCAAATGCCACCACCATCTAATGTCCATCTAAGAGTACATTCTCAGGGAATTGCTGGTTTGCTCTAAACTTGAACACAAAGAATTTATACTCATGAAGGAAAGGACCAGTACTCAGAAGAGGTTTCAACACTCTGAGTGGTGGGGGAGGGGTCGCTGGATTTGGAGAGAAGCAGGTTGGTTTGTATAAATCATCTCTCACCCCTACTGCCTGAACAAGCCGGCCATAAGGTTGACCAAGGTTCCCTTTCCCAGGGATTCCAGTTGCAGCTTTTCTTTCGGTGCTATCTGATTTCTTCTCATCTCATGCGGTGGAAACCCCTTTTCACCCTATTCGCCTCCCATTCATCTTTTTACTAAATAGGCAAATAATTTTGAGGGGTGTGTGTGTGTGTTATATTTAATGTTTGAGCAGTGCTGAGAATTTTTAACATTTGAGATTGAATCTCTTTGAATCTTTTTTCTATAAATGAATACTAATACAAATAATATACTAAAATACTAGAAGTGTGGCTGGGCATAGTGGCTCATGTCTGTAATCCCAGCACTTTGGAAGACTGAGATAGGAGGATTGCTTGAGCCCAGGAGTGTAAGACCAACCTAGGCTGCAAAGTGAAACCCATCTCTACCAAAAAAAAAAAGCCATTAGCCAGGCATGGTGGCATGCAGCTGTAGTCCCAGCTGCTCAGGAGGCTGAGGCAGAAGGATACCCTGAGCCCAGGAAGTCAGGGCTGCAGTGAGCCCTGATCATGCCACTGCACTCCAGCCTGGGTGACAGAGTGAGACCCTGACTCAAAATATATATGTATATTAGAAATGTAAATTGTACAAGAAGAGCTTTTTTGTCTTTGGTATGCCATATAGTCTTACAACCAAAAACATTTTGTAAATCCCATAGATAATATACATGAGGCTCTGGGAACATGTCAACATAAAAACACTATACACTTTTAAGATGTGGTGGCTATTAATTTTGTAGATTTCATATTCTCCCGGGAATGAAATATGTGTCCGATAGGTGAGTAATCCTAGGAAAGCTGTCACAGTAGACAGATGGGTACTACTGCCTTTTGGCAAAATGAAGCACTTGTCAGAACAATGGCCACCACTGTATGAAAGAGTAGGGTCCATGTCTGATCTCTAAGAATAGTTCTGGAGTCCTGATGAAAAAAAAATTCCAGAGACTTAACCTCTTTGGTTTCCTCAGGAAAAAAAGTAAGTCTGTAGTCAGCCTATTTTCTTCCGGGAAGTTGACAATGCTGAGTTCTCTGCAGAAGACAACACTCAAGCAGGTCAGGGCTTTCCTGGACTGGTTGATTATCAGTGGCTCAGCATTGCAAGGTTGTTTAGTTGATTGGTTTCTTCCTGTCTCCCTCCTTTCCTCCCTTCCCTTCCCTTCCTGTTTACCTTTTTTCCTTCTTCCCTTCCTTCCTTCCTTCCTTTCAATAGAGTTTTTATTTTGCGATAAGTAGATATTCACATCAGTTGTAAGAGATAATGCTGAGAGACTCCCCCATACCCTTCACCCATTTTCTCCCAGGTATAACATCTTGCAAAACCATAGAACAGTATCACAATCAGGATACTGTTATTGATGCAGTCAAAATACAGAACAGTTTCTCCATCAGAAGGGTTCTTCTGATTGCCTTTTTGTAGTCATCCCCACCTCCCTCTTCCCAGTCTGTGCTTTCTAAAGAACACATTGATGCCAATGGTAAAAGCAAAATATTTGGGGGGAACTAATGCTCATTTTTGCCAGGATGATGAAGCTAGGAAATGAACCCAGTTCTGGCAGGTGAGTGCTGCCTCTGTTGTCTTGGTATCTTCCTATTTCTGCTGTGTTATTTTTTTCCCAGGGAGATTCTTCTGTATTTTTTTCGTGAGTGTCAGCTACCATTAGAATTTGACTGCACATCTGTGGAAGAACTTATATCAAGTTCTGAGGTAAGCTGTTTTTTTTAGAACTCTGAGGATTGACAGAATAGCTTGAAAAAATGTAAAGGGCTACCAGTAAGAGGACCTTGAATGCCTTCAGTGACTGAAGATGGGGTCCTTTATACCAAATGGGCGATTCAGAATTAAAGCTACATGTGAAATCACTGTGGCCAAGGTTAAATGCAGTGGAGAAGCTCTTACAGACTGGGACAGTCCATTGCAGAGATGAAACCATTACATAGTCCCTGGCTTCCCTCTCCACCACAAAATAGAGTTTCTGTTTCTTAGAAAAACTTCCTCAGTTGCCCGCTATGAATAGCTGAGCTGAGGAATGGGTAGTTGCCCAAAGCACTAACCTTACTAGAATCACTGAGACACCACTGGAAAATTACATTTATTAAATCTCTTCTCACGGATAGCACCAGATATGATTGGATAGAAAACTTTGATCAGCTACCTGGGGTGCAAAGTGTTAACCCTTCCTATCCATTGGCCATGCTTAAGTAACAAAGGGTGGTCCCCCAGCAGCATAGTCCCTGCAGGGCTGTGGTGAAACTGAGTGAGGTGTGCGTGCCTGAGGCCAGGTGGAGGAGTAGAGCCACCAAGAGCCTCCACCTCCATGCTTAGCGTTGCTTGTGGAGATGATGGGTACACTCAGAAAGGCTCTCAATGAATGGAGCTTGAACTATTACTGTATCAGAGGTGTCATGTGCCTCAGTCTGATCCTGGGGAGATCCCTAAATTCCTAGTCTATATTCATTGTTTCTGCTTTTTTTGTCTTCTGTTCTTGTCTCTTCCTCTCCCGTGGGGCTTCTGACTCCACCACTTTTAACTAACATTGTTCTTGTCAGAGCTACCACTGACCTGTTTGCTGACAAGGCAGTCGTCACTTCTTGCCTTACCTGACCTGTCAGAGGCCTTCGACCCAGCTGATTACTTTCTGCTTGTCTAGCTTCCATGGCAGACACTTCCGATTTTCTTCCTTTCTACCTTCTTTATGGCAAATTCCTATTCCACTTGGTTTCTAAATGTCGGTGTGACTGAGGGCTTGTTTCTGGGCCACTGCCTTTTCTCTCTTAAATGCTGTTTCTAGGTGACCTCATCTAGTCTCTGACTTTAAATACTACCCCACCTGCCAGTGACTTCCCGTCTCTCTCCCTGGCACTCCCTTCCAAGACACACAGACTCCAACTGCCTTCTCAGCATCGCCTTCTGAATATTTATTATTTTATCATTGAATTTTTCCTCACCTTGATATTTTTATCTGCCACATAGTTTAGCCATGCTGTATTTATTTATGTAAGTTGCCTTAATTCTTTTTATTTTTTGGAAGGAAGTGAGGTATAATCTAATTAATTTAATTAGACCCAGGCTTAAAAGACCTAATGTACCTTTGTTGGCCAGTTCTAAGCTTTGTTGCTTTTTTATGTTGGATACTGGCATGATATAACTCTGTTGTAGACAGCTCATTCTCTAAAAGTTAATATCCTGTTCTATTATCATTTATGAAAACAGCTGGAACAATGCCCAGAGCAGACAAACAAAAAGCTGAAAATGTGTTTCAACCAGGTAAGCTTCCTTTCAGTATAGCCATTTATATTCTAAATGACCCTATGTTCCAAAGGAGAAGTAATATACATTTCGAAATGTTAGGTTTGGAAGGAAATCAAATTTGCATTCACTTATCAAGACTTAGATTAATGTGCAGCATATCAGATGTCATAAAACAACATCTTTTTGTATCTTAAATGCAAAGGCTTCTACAACACAAAGCGAGGAAACACTTGGAGTAGGATTATATTTTGAACAGAAAATTGGACATTCTGAGTCTTTAGGAAATGTATTCACTGAATCCTCAAAATACTAGACTATGGCAGAAATTGTTTATAGAGTCAAGTTTTAAATTATTCCAGACAACTTGATATCTCTCTGAGTTTTTTTAGTACCTTATCTTCAGTTTTATGAGTTAATAATTTTTCTATCATGAAAGTAGTTATAAAAGTAATTACTGCTAATGTAAGAAGTAAAAGGAATTTAAAGAAATTTATCAGAAGTCCCAAACCATCTGAAGAACACTGATATTAATATTTTTATGTATTTCTTTTCAACCATTCTCTCTCTGTGTGTAGATATCTTTTAAGCCATTGTCAAATAATGCTGTGTATCTAGTCCTTAATGATTTGGGGGCTCGGGAAAAGAGTCCAGAGTGTCCTTCAAGTTCTACTACAGAAATAGCTTTGAAAATTATATTCCTTCAACTCCCCTATCTCACACTATAAAACTTGAAATTCCAAGATGTGGGCTTGGCCAGGCTGACATAAGGGATTAATGTTAGAGCACAGATGGCCATGGAGGGTCCCAGACTCAGTGTAAAGACTACAGCCACCTAGAAATTGTCATGGCACCAGGGTTAATATTGACATGTTAGGTCTTTGTTGACATTTTCCCTGTGTTTTCTCAGACCTGTTCACCAGCTTCATCACTGGCACATACATTAGCATCTTTTTTCCATGTGCTTATACTTACAGCCACCTTCTGGGAAACTATCATAATTACATGCAAATCTATAAAGATAAGAGGTGACTGGCACCCCCTGACACTGCCTCATCTTTTGTTGTAGTAGTAGAGTCCATTTGGATTTTTTGTTTTATAAGTAAAAAAAAATTGTGGAGCCAGGTGCAGTGGTTCATGCCTATAATGCCAGCACTTTGGGAGGCTGAGGCAGGAGGATTGCTGGAACCTAGAAGTTCAAGACCAACCCAGGCAACACAGTGAGGTCCTCTCTACAAAAATTAAAAAAAAAAAATTAGCTGAACATGGTGGGGTGCACTTGTAGTCTCAGCAACTGGCAAGGCTGAAACAGAAGGATTGCTTGAGTCTGGGGGTTGGAGGTTGCTGTGAGCTATGATCATGCCACAGCATTCCAGCCTGAGGACAGAAGAGGCCCTGTCTTTAAAAGGATAAAAAGAAAAGGAGTTGTAAAGTAAATTTTCTAAAGACATATCACTAGGCAAACTTGAAATGAAAAGTAGAATCTGAATCCGATTTCCTCTCACAAAGGCTGTATCACACAGTGTGTCTATATCGGACAACCCTTGTTGACAGGTTTGCCTCTGTTGTTTCTGACTGAGTGCCTACTGGGCTGTGTGAAATAACTGGAAATGAAGGGGGGAGGTTGTAGTTCTTAGTTTCTCATTACCATTCAATTGAAAAGTCTATTTTCTGAATGATGTTTTGTTGAAAAAGCAGTAATTGAACACTTTTAGTTTGTGGAATGACTTATCAACATTTCCTAACTAGAATAAAAGACAAGGTTTATTTTCAGTAATATGGCTGACCCTGTTCTAGCACTAATATTATTTTCATCAACTAAAGTAAAACTGTGATTGATTGAGAGCTACTAGAGCTAGCCACTGGACTGGGCCTTCACTACACATTACTTCATTTAACCCTCACAACTTTGGAAGGTAGGGGCTGCTATCTTCATTTTGGCAACAAAGAAAGGAGATTCAGAAAGTTAATATCCCAGTGTCGGATGTAAGTATCGGATTCAGAGTTGAAACCCAGTTTTGCTCCACTCCAAAGCTCTTCCCATTATATTTTTTTTCCAGGTTATTCTTTTTTTTTTTTGAATTGGAGTCTCACTCTTGTCGCCCAGGCTGTAATGCTCTAGCATGTTCATGGCCACCATAGCCTCGACCTTCTGGGCTTAGACGATCCTTTCACCTCAGTCTTCCAAGTAACTGGAACTACAGACTCATGCCACCACGCCTGGCTAGTTTTTGTGATTCATTGTAGAGGCAAGATCTTACCAAATTGCCCAGGCTGGTCCCCGGACCAGGCAATCCTCTTGCTGCAGCCTCTTAAAGTGCTGGGATTACAGGCTGAGCCACCGTGCCCGGCCTTCCATGTTATTCTTCTTGAGACTTTAATACTTCCTCTTAGCGAGAGAGTGTTTATGTGTTACTTGCAGTAGGTACATTGCAACTCTTCAGCCTGTTGGTGTAGAATAAGTATATTTAACTTACTTGAGACTTGAATCGCAAGACGTATATGGGGGAAACGCTGACAGAGAAATCTCTATATGAGGGAGTAGTGTGTGGTAGCCAGGTTTGCTCAGTGCTCTGCTGATACGGAAACCCACTATTGTCTGTCCATATTGCCACAACCCATAAAGAAAGGCGTAACAAGCATTTGAGCTGGCCTGCATGCTAAATTCTGAGAATTAGCAAGGAAAAGTTGTTTCCCCTTATCTCCTGCACATTCCCCATAAGTCACTTCGCAGAATCCTTAGCTCCCTGCAGACCCTGGTCACTCACCTGAGATAAATGAATCCCTATTCACTTCCTTTTATCAGTAGTCATAGATTTTAAAAAGATAGTACCCATGTAACCATAAGTCTTATAATTTGTATAACTCTTTGCTTGTTATAACTACTAATTAACAATATGTTCTAGTGAAAGTTTTACTTTGTAATAGACTGTGTTAATTGCCTTACTCTATGGCAAGTTTGATCAACTTCTCTGTTCGGTGTTACTGATAAGAAAACTGTGGGCTACCCCAGGAAATTGTTACCAGAAATGTGGACGATAAATGTCACTTTTGGGAAAATGCGGCTGTGATTTAAGTTCTGTACAGTTCTCTGTCAGTCATGTAGTCCATCTATAGAAACCAGCAACCCTAAACTTAAAAAACGGATTGTGAAACCTAAGGGGGAACAGACACATTCCAGAAATTCCGGGTGCCAGGTTCTGTCTCCCTGAATTCAGTGATAAAATTCTTTCTGCCAGTTCTCTGCCTCTCGAGAGATAGAGGCTAAGCATTTATCAGACCATAACACTACCAGGAATTGGTTTTCCCAACTGAAAGTCTGTGGTAGTTATCTTGAAGAGTTGTTATCTTGAAGAGCCATTAATAAGGCCCCTGGATCTTCCCATAGGTCTTCATCTGCTGGTTAGGGGACTCTGGTTTAAACACTTACCCTATAAAAACTTAGAAGCTTGTTAAGAATTAGATCGTTAATCATTTGTTTATCAAAGCCTGTATGTGCCCTTTCATATGTTTCTAAATGATACTTTTTCCAATGTCTATGCCATCAGTACTAGAACCAGGTTGTTGGGATTTAGAGGCCAGAGTGAATATGGTAAGTGATTATCCGGGGTGAACAGTTTTAGCATAGATGGTGAGTTGTAGCCCCTTAATATCCAGGGTAAGTGAGATTCGAAGAGCATAAGCAAGATAAACAAAGAGACCAGGAGTTCCAGTTGAAACTGAGATCTTATAGGCAAAATACAGAACAATTGGAATCATGACTTTCCTAACAATGAAACTACTTATCTTGAAGACTTCTAAATGATTGGTAACTTTAGGTGGATGGTAATAAAAGCTATTCAAATTACTTCTTGAAATCCATGGAGAGGACACATCTATACGATTTACTTTAAGGTGTGTACTTTTTATAATTTAAAAAAAGGCCACATTAAAGCACAGGATCATCCTATATGTTACAGCCTTCTTTGGTCACATCAGTGGTTTTCACAATGACCATGATAGTAGTAGGGGATTCATGACACCACTGGCAGTCCTGTACCACCCAGCCCTAACCACCATCTTAAATTCTTTCTTCTCACAAGCCATCTGCTCCATCCAAACAATTATCTTAGAGTTGGCTCCAATACTTAACACTGCTCTAACACCGCTGAGTTCTATCATACTGTCCCCCATAATGTCCATATCCACTCTCCCATATCCACTCTCTTTTGAAATCCTTCACTCCATTTAGAGCTTGATCAATATTATCTTCTACATGAAGCTTTCCTCAGTCTCTTCATGTGAAATTAATCTCAACTGCTCTGTGTTCTGAGACAACCTTAAAATCTGTTTCAGTATTAATTAAAATTTCTGCCTTGCAATAGTTTTTATTTTGTTTTCCCTTCAATTAAATCATGGACTCCCTGGAAGTGAGTAATCTTCTCTATCAAACTATATCCTAGCGGCATTCAGTCAGTACTTTTGAATGCATCTGGTTTTAATAGTTGTCCTTTGAATCAGAGCTGATTGATTCTGCTGTAGCGTCTGCCAACTTAAACACATGAATATTCCTGTTTGTATGTTACAAAATTTATCGATCGTACAGGCCTTCCTCATTTTATGTAAACATGTTAGGATTCTGGAGCTACAAAGTTGCTAGAGCTCTGACTTTTAAAATTCAAGGCGGAACATTAAAATCTCAGTTGAATATTCTTTCTTTCACATCCTAATTTCATTCTAAATTAATGGAATTTGGAAAAAAATTCAGTTTTTGATATGCCACAAATACCTTTACAAGAGTGAGTTTAACCAGCAGAACTAAGCCTCTCATCTTGTTAGAATCCTCTTCTCACCTTAATTAAAATGTTAATACAGCTAGATGTTCTTTTTCATAAAGCTTTAAAAGTTGTCAGAATTACAACTTTTTATAGAAACTTCTTGGAGAGGTTAGCAGAACCTCCAGGACAGAGAAAGGCAGAAAAATAAACCAGAAATTCGGCCTGTAGTATTTGACAGAAAACACAGTTTACTGGTCCCAAAGGGGTAGACTTTGAGAGACTGAATACAACTTTGAATATAAATGAATATTCTTGGTCTCATACCATACTAATGTCGGAGCTTCTTTCTATTTATTTTTACTTTGAATTTTAAAAATAAGTATAGATTTATAAGAAGTTGCTAAAATAGTTCAGAGAGGTCTTGTATACCCATCACTCAGTTTCTACCGATGCTCACATTTTGCGTAATTTCAGCATAATATCAAAGCCAGGGAATTGAAATTGGTAAAATGTGCATATATAGTTCTGTGTCATTTTATCATATGTGTAGATCTGAATAATTACTACGGAAACCAGGAGGCAGAATTCCCTTAAGTCTCTCTCTAGTGCTTTTTGTAGTCACACCCACCCAGCCCTTTCACAAATACCTCTCGCTCCTGGCAACCACTAATATGTTCTCCATCTCTATCACTTGGTCGTTTCAGGAGTGTGATAGAAATGGAATCATACAGTATGCAATCGACTTTACTCATTCAGCATCACTTTGGCTCCATTCAAGTATGTCCACAGAGTGTTACTCTTTATGGTTGATGAGCAGTACTACCACATTTTCAAATAATGTTGCTTTTCATATTTTATATTTCTCTTTTATTTGTTTTGGTTTATTTTATTTGCTTTTATTTTTATGAAAAAGTGTTTTCTGGCCAGGCAAGGTGGCTCATGCCTGTAGTGCTAATACTTTGGGAGGCTGAGGTGGGAGGATTGCTTGAGTCCAGGGGTCTGAGAGTAGACTGGGCAACATAGCAAGACCTTGCCTCTAAAAAAATAAATGCAAACTTAGCCAGGTATGGTGGCACACACCTGTAGTCCCAGCTACTTGGGAAGCTGAGGCAGACAGATTGCCTGAATCCAGGCGATCAAGGCTACAGTGAGCCATAGTTGTGCCACTGCACTGCAGCCTGGGTGACAGAGTAAGACCCTGACAAAAAGAGAGAGAGAGAGGGAAAAGAAGAGGAAAAGAAAAAGTGGTTTTTGGTTACTTATTCAGGATAGCAAAAGCTGTAAAATTCTGGAGTTTTACCAACTCTAAAATAGCAAACTCTGTACAATATTTAAAGAGGTTTATTCTGAGACAAATGTGAGTAATCTAGGCCCATGGCATAGTCCCAAGGGGTCCTGCAAACATATGTCCCAAATGAATGGATTATAATTCCCCTTTATACATTTTAAGGAAACAGAAGTTACAGGCAAAACATAAATCAATACATGTGGAGTTTACACTAGTTGGACCCAGAAAAGTGGGATATCTCCAAGGTGAGGTAGGAGGGATTTACAGGTCATAACTGGATTCAAAGATTTTCTGATTGGCAGTTGGTAGAAAGAGTCAAACTCTGAGGCGCGGTGGTTCACGCCTACAATCCCAGCACTTTGGGAGGCCCAGGTAAGAAGATTGCCAGAGCCCACAGGTTCAAGACCAGCCTAGGCAACTTGGCGAGACTTCATCTCTACAATAAACCAAAAAATTAGCCAGGCATGGTGGCGTGTGCCTGTAGTTCCAGCTACTTGGAAGGCTGACGCAGAAGGATCACCTGAGCCCAGCAGGTTGAGGCTATGGTGGCCGTGAGCATGCCTCTGCACTCTAGCCTGGGTGAGAGTGAGACTCCAACCTCCCCCCCCAAAAAGAATTTGAAATCAGTTAAAGAAAAGAAATGCTTGAGTTACAATGAAGGGGTTGAGGAAGACAAGGCTCGTGTTATTTAGATAAAGCCTCCAAGTTATAGACTTCAGAGAGAATAGGTAGCAAATGTCTTAAAAGTTCTCTGTAGATGCAAATTTCCCTGAAAGGTGGCTTTGCAGAGTCACTTCAAAATATGTCAAATAAATATATTCTGGGGTAAAATGTTTTAATTTCCATTAAGTCCTGCTATATGTCATGTGAGACTATACTAAGAGTTACTTTAGAATTCGGTATCTTATTGCCACAGAGTCTGTTTTGTCAGTCTTATGATATCTATTAATACTAATACTGGTCAGCTATGCCTAAGACTCCATAAGAAACACGTCCAATTTCCTTTTCCGTCATGGTGTGGGATTTAGCTTTTCAGTTTTCCTTGGCTCCGAGGTGCATCCATTCAGTTGGTTGGGGATGCTTAATATTTTATTTTGGTTTACAGTGGCTAGTGACATCTAAACTATGTGAGATTGTGTCCTTATTCCAACTAAGTGAATTATTTACCCTATTTCATCTTCAGGCTGTGGGAGATATCACTCCCTGTGGTTGCCTGCAGCCTGCACAGGAAGCATCTGTGAAGCTTCCTGGAGGAGGTGGTTGTTGCAGTTAGTTTTAAGTCACCAGATTCTTGTAGGTTGATTTGAAGATACCCAAAAGTAGATGCTGCCGGACACGGTGGCTCATACCTATAATCCCAGCATTTTGGGAGGTGAAGGAGAGAGGATTGCCTGAGCTTGGGGGTTCAAGACCAGTCTGGGCAACTTGGTGAGTCCTTGTTTCTACAGTAAATTAAAAAATTAGCCAGGCATGGTGTTGTGTTCCTGTGGTTTCAACCACTTGGAAGGCTGAGGCAAAAGGATCACCTAAGCCCAGCAGGTGGAGGCTGCAGTGGCTGTGAGCGTGCCACTGCACTCTAACCTGCGCAAAAGAGTGAGACTTCTACTCAAACAAAAAAAATAGTAGATTCCTGTCTAGCATCTCTGGAAGTAGCCTGGATTTCAAGGCAGGATTGTCCCACGTGTTTGAAATTCCTTTGCTGTAAGTGCTGTATCTGCTCTCCTGACTATTTAGTGCTGTGTGCCAGGCATGGGAAATGCAAAGGTGAACAAAAGCAACTCTTTTTTTACATGGAGGTTACATTCTAGAGGGAGAGACAAATAATAAATATATCAATAAAAAATAATGTAGGGCAATCCCTTCAGGTCCCCTCCCACTGTGGGAGCTTTTCTGTCCTCTCAATAAATCCTGCTTTAAAAAAAAAACAAAAACACATAATATAGAGTCATATAATGATAGATGATAAGCATGTAAATGAATAAACATGCTGTGGTGTGTCATCAAATAATTCTTCAAGACCAAGAATAGACAGGGATGGTATACTGGAGAAGAGGACGTCTATTTCAGATATGGTGCATGAGAAGTATTTGAGGAGGTGATGTTTCCACACAGACTGAGGCAAGGAGTGAGTCTTGTGCAGATCTGGGGTTGAGCCTAGCAGACAGAGAAAGCATTAAGAGCAAAAGGCCTGAGACATAAATGAACTGGAAAAATGATCAGGAAATAAGGTAAGAATAGGCAGAACCAGGTTAAGGATTTCAGTCTGTTCTTGGTGTCTCATACAAGCTTCTAGGCAATTTAAGACTCTAAGAGTCTAAGATTTGTTTACATGGCAATCTACAAACCTCACAATTAATCTCACTTTTAGCAGACTACCGTACATACACCCACACATAGTGTCGTTGCTTGCCACCACGGAACTCCCAAATATTCCTCTCAATTAACGGTATATGAAAAGTACAAATAATGAGAGAAAAAGTTACTGGCAAATCTAAGTAAGGACTTTAATACTCGTTAATATAATGAAAAATTCACACCCTTTTCTTAACTCTAATATTTTAACCTTAATTGGGGCACAATGTCCCTATTCCCATAAGATATAATATTTATACACTTCAGGTCAGGCGTGATAGCTCATATCTGTAATCCCAACATTTTCAGAGGTCAAGATTGGAAGATTGCTTAAGGCTAGGAGTTTAAGACCAACCCGGGCAACATAGTGAGACCTCATCTCTACCAAAAAGAAAAAAAAAATTGCAGGGTAGAATGTTCTTAAGGGCAAAGACTGTATCATCTATAATTAAATTCAATGCTTTCTGGTTAAGAAGTAGTTTATAAATATTTATTAGCAGAAATTCCTGTGTGTGGGACTTTTTGTTTGCACTTTTATGGATGTTATGGAAAGAAGAGAAACTCATGAAGTCAGTGAGTGCTAAAGGCAATGATGTGGACAACTTCTGGAAAGGGTCAGCCCATAGTCAACGTGGTGGAGGGTGTGGAAGGATGTACGTAGGATACGCCAGAAGGCAAATTAGGCTACTTTATCTTTTTCCTGGCAACCCAGTCGCATTAACACAGAAATATCCTTGTTATAGAAACATTCAGATGTGTATCAGAATGGTATTTGCCCTGTATCTATTTTCCCTGACCCTTTCAGAATGTTGATACAAGCAATTAATGTCATTCTGAAATTAAAGCATTTGGCCTCTCCATTACCTCGGTCTACTTTATGAGTGCCTCAGGCACAATGTGAAACTTTGGAAAGCAACCAAGATTCTTGAATTGGTAAGGGTCATATGCATAACAGTTCATAATCTTTACATCACGATAAGAAATCCAGAAAGAGGGGAGAACAACAAGAATTCTCTTACTGTAGCTCCTGTGCTTTGTAGATACTACAGACTTGAGTTTTAAATAACACCACATCATCTGCCAAGATAGGTCCCAGTGCCTAGTCATTGTGTCATTACCTGTGAGTTACTGGTGCTGTGGAGAGAGGGTCATAGGCACCTACCCCCTTTGTTCCTTGAGTAAACTGTAATCAGTGTTGGGAGAACAAATCCAACCTTTATTGGGTTCCTCCTTTATTCCAAAGAAAAGGTCTCTGAGTCCACCTTGGTGTGCCTCTCTTCTCCATATATTATAATTACTGGAATATTTACATTTTTCCTCCTGTCCCTTCATCTTCCAGTAGGGTGTAAGTTCCTTAAGGGTATCAATACATCTTAAATTTAGACTACCTGTAGCACTTACACACAGAGTTGACACTTGGGGTGTGTGTGTGTGTGTGTGTGGCGCGCACAAAGTTGGAATATGAAATTGCTTTTGGATATTAAGGGGAGAATTAATAGTTTAAAAATACACTAAAGTTATTTTAAAAAAACTATTCCCAGATCCAGAATATTTATATGGTCCAATATGAAAAAAAACTAAAGAGAAAAATTCAGTCTGTTATCTATGATGCAAATCGAAGAGGAGTACTAAATGAAATCTGTCTGGGGCAATGTGAAAAAAAAAGAAAAATGACCGAGGATAAACTGAAGAATCTTCGCGTAAAACTGGAAGCAGTGCTGCAGAAACTTCAGCTGGTGAGTGATGAAATTGTACTTGAGCAGCAGGAATAGACTTGATGGAAAGAGCACTCAGGTAGCTTCTTCTAACATTGACATTCACTTACTGACTTTGGAAAAGTCACTTAATCCAGCTCTAACTCTCTTTATATAGATTTCGAAATCACAAATAAATGAACTGTGAAGGCATATATTAGAACTTTTAAAAAATTTTTGACCTTTATCTTAAAAAAAAATTTAGAATCTCTGCTTGTTCTGTTGGTATAGGATGATGGTCACCCTTGGTGTCTCCTCAGTAGCAAGTGTTCAGAAGGAAATTTTTTCACTTTTTTTCAGAAAGCAATGTATGTTAATTTATTTTTATCTTAATACATAAATAAAAATAAACCCTCCTGACCTTGAGGGAGAGGTTGGAGACGGCAAGAAACATTGTATAAGTGTGGATTGCTGTCAGTAGATGCTTGAAATAAACTGAGAAATCCAGTCAGAACTGTGAGCCTGGGGAGCGCGTGGCATTTTGTCATCAGATAACAGGCCCTGAGTGCTGGGACAGAAGACAGGTCCTTCCTGGGCCATCCAAGGTGAGATCAGAACGGAGTCCCTTGTGGAAAGCCTGGAGGATTGACTGGAGGAATACCTTGCTCTTGAAGGAGTTGAGGAGAGACAAGGAACCTCGCCATCCATACCTCAGTATAACGTGTGATGAGCACAGACCTGGAAGCCAGTGGCTGCATTTCAGTTCTGCCTGTGAACATTTCAATGTAGGAGTCCATGCCCACTTCAAAAAACAAAATCTTTTGATATTTCTGAAATTTATTTTATACTATAAAATGCAGAAAATATTGTTTTTGTTTAATTTAGATTTATTAAGAAGCCCTTCTTCCATTTGGTGGTTTGGGCAGTGATTAAAATGTTACATTATTAAATAAAAAAGGATGTTCTGACTTGTTTTTATATAATGGTGATTGTATTTGTGTTTCTATTAACAACACTACTCCAGCCAATCCTTTGAGTTTATTTATGGCTATGAGAGTGGTATGTGAGTGGAGCTCCTTTTGGTTCTTGTGCTGTGAAGTATGGCAAACGTTTTTACACGTAAAAGGTCTGGTATAGAGCCTGGCACACAGTAGAGTTCCAGTGACAATTATCATTTCACTACCAAGGAAATTTAGAAAGACCAAAGAAATTCCATGTCATAGAAGTGGAGTACTACTTTCTGACTAACAAAATGTTTATCAAAATGATTGGCTCTCATAATAGCAACTGAAAAAATAATCATTTGCTATTCCCTATGTCAAACCTGTGGATTCCCCCAGAGTAGCCAGAGTAATAATACTGTTCATGAAGTTTGGTAGGAAAATGAAAGACTTTAGCCAGCAGAGTATGAAACACCTTGCCTAGTATTAGTGGAGGGGTACTCAAATGGTTCCTGCCCAAATATGTCACATTCATCTCCAGACTTGAAATTTTCATTTCACTGTCTGTGACTGCCAGAGCCACTTAAGTAGGGTAGAGCAGAAAATTGAGATGAGGGACCCAAAGGAGGTGGAGGGGGACAGACATATGAAGAAGCTGAGCATAGAACCAGTTGAATATCCTGGAAGTTTAGTCTGCCAGTCAGAGCTTAATAGCCAAAACATAATATTTTATCTAACAAGTTGAGAAGTACTCTGTGTCAGGAAGGGCCACAGGGCATTCTTCAGGGTCAGTGAATATTTAGAAATCTAGATGAATGTCAACATCATGGTAAATAGCCACATCGGAAACCTGCCTGCAGCAGCAGTGACAAAGCTGGGATTTAGTACAATTCCGCCTTGTTCGAAGACTGAGAAAATCTAGGGTAGACATGTCATAATGCCTGAACAGGATCTAAAGCTAGGATTGTTTCTGAGTGGTCCTTCCTAAAAATTATCTTATTCATCAGCTCAGTTGGAGAGCTAGTTGATCCCTTAGTTTGGTCTAAGGGAGTGAGAGATCAATAAAGAGGAAACATATAAGGGGACTTCAAAAAGTTTGTGGAAAAAATGGAATTAAAAGATAAAAATTTAAAAATAAACTTTTTTTTTTTTTTGAGTTGGAGTCTCACTCTGTCGCCCAGACTGGAGTGCAGTGGCCACTCCCGGCCACTGCAGTTCCTGCTGGGCTCCGGTGATCCTTCCGCCTCAGCCTTCCAAGTAGCCGGAATTACAGGCGCGCGCTACCACGCCCGGCTGATTTTTTGATTTATTGTAGAGATGAGGTCTCGCCTGGCCAGGCGAGTCTTGAACCCGGGCTCAGGCAATCTACTCACCTCAGCCTCCCAAAGGCGCGGGATTACAGGCTGAGCCACCGAGCCCAGCAAGGAAACAAAAAGAAGTCAAAAGAAGCCAATTGCCTAATGATTTCCCATTGAAACACTCACAAAATTGCTCGTTTGTTGAGAGCAGTGAGCAGGAGCATCATCATGGTACAGAAGGCCTTATTGGTGAAGCTTTTCTGGACGTTTTTCTGCTAAAGCTTTGACTGATTTTCTCAAAACACTCTCATAACAAGCAGATGTTATCATTCTTTGGCCCTCCAGAAAGTCAACAAGCAAAAATTCCTTGAGCAGCCCTGAAAACTGTTGCCATGACCATTGTTTTTGACCAGTTCTCTTTTTGATTTGACTGGACCACTTCCATCTCTTAATAGCCATTGCTTTGATTGTGCTTTGTCTTCAGGATTATACTAGTACTTTTTATACTCATCTGCTTACTATTCTTTTAGGAAATGCTTCAAGATCTTGATCCTGCTTGTCTAGATTTTTCACTGAAAGATCTGCTCTTGTCTGCTGCTGACCTGGGCACAATGGTTTGGGCACCCTTTGAGTCAAATGTTTCTTCCTCTTTGATTTTTCATTTAGACGTGTGTAAGATAAACTAATTGAGGTGTTTATGGTAATGGCTATTGTTTTTGCTACTGATCATCAGTCCTCTTCAATTACAACAAGAACACATTTTTTTTTTCAAACTGATGTGGATAGCCTACCACTGAGGGTTTCGTCTTCGTCATCATCTTGACCTGTCTTAAAACAAGTTATCCATTTGTAAACTTCTGATTTTGGAGAGACGTTATCCTCATAAACTTTTTGTAAAACATCAGTGTTTTCATAATTCTTCCACCAAGCTTTACCAAAATGTGAGTTGTTCTTGCTTCAATTGGAGCAGAATTCATGGTCCTGTGATAGAGGATCTTTTCAAATGGCTATCTTATTCTTTTTTTTTTTTTTTGAGTCGGAGTCTCACTCTGTCACCCAGACTGGAGTGCAGTGGCCGCTCCTGGCCACCGCAGCCTTGCCTGCTGGGCTCCAGCGATCCTTCCGCCTCAGCCTTCCAAGTAGCTGGAATTACAGGCATGCGCTACCACGCCCGGCTGATTTTTTGATTTATTGTAGAGATGAGGTCTTGCTGCCCAGGCGGGTCTTGAACCCACGGGCTCAGGCAATCCACTCACCTCAGTTCTTATTCTTTATAGGTTCCTCAGACTAGATCATGCTCAGACATGTTATAAAAAGTTAGTATGAGTTTATTTTGGTGCAAAAATTGAAATTCATGCATTTTTTCATAATATGCATTTCCCATGAAAATGTTGCAAACCCTTCCTATGTCCAGCAGTCCCGTGGATCAAGAAACCCAAGGAAAGAGAGCATGAAATTGCCCCAGGACGAAGCTGGGGACAGGGGAGAAGGGATGAGCATGGAGAGAAGGGGATAGATCAAGTCAACAAGCCAAGAGTTGACGGGCTGCAATGGAAACAGAAGAAATGGAGAATCAAAATTTGCCTACTCATTGGTTTTTTCGTGCAAGGCTAAAGATTTATGGATTTTACAAACAAGAGATGAGAACCTATAACACAGAAGGATGAGTCTGAGATAAAGGAACTTTAAGAATATGACAGGCAATTAAAGAGAAGGGACACAAAAAACAAAACACAAGTGAACTTTCACTAAAGAAGAAAAAATGATCCAAGTTCCTAACCACCTGTGAGCATAAAATGAGATTAAATGAGAAAACATTTTGAAAGGTTAAACACATGATTCCAATGCAAGGTGGGTTTTGTTGCTGCTTGAATCATAGGTAAGACTGTTAGGAAGGCTGCCCAGATTGCAGGAGGAACTCTGTAGCTCCTTTCCCTGGGATGATTTTTGCTTCTCTTTTCCAGGGTGGTCCTGCAGGTGACCTGGAGCAGATTGACACTTATTTAGAAGCTTTGCTTAAAGAAGATAATCTCCTTTTCCAGAAGACTTTAAATAAAGTGACTATAGATACAGAACCTAGTCTCCCTTTAGGAAAAAATTAAAAGGCTTTTCAAAATTAAAAGTCAGAGAAGGTATTCCCCCTTTAAAATGCTAATAAGAAAACTAAAAGATTCTTTTTTAAAAGTTTCTTTTGTTGTTGTTGTTATTGCAAATTCATCCTGCTTAACTCTAAGAAAATTATATACTTTAGAAGTGGAAACTGATTTACACTTTACATATTCCACAATCCTATTTTCTAACTCTTCCTTTTCTTTCGGAAATAATTTCTAGAGTTCCCTAATTCCCATGTGAGCTACTAAGAAAAGTGAAAATGTCACTCAAGCTTAAATTTTGTTTTACTTAAAAGATTACAAAAACTTGAAAACAGTGATTTTTGAAATCAATATACAAAGGACTATAAAATCACCTCTTTTTGAAATGTGTGTTGAAAAAGAAAGACATTATTATCTTTCTAACTACAGCCAACACTCAGTAAAGCAGAAAATATAAACCTCCCAAAAAACTTTGAAATCTAGTTTATATGATAATTTTATTATTTAGTTATAGTAAAAGGATAAATCTCCAAAGCATAAATATGTATATGTATAACACATATATAAAAATTGTTTTTACATGTATACATATATAAGGAATTGTGATATTATACTTTCCTTGATAACTGATTGCTTGTTTGTTTGTTTAGAAATGTCTGCAACTTTGAACAAAAAAATAAAACATTTAGTATTCACTTGTGGAACTGTATAATTTTTACTTATGTAGGTGCACATAATTCAAAATTCAGAACATGAGAAACAGAATATAGTGAAAAGTCTTTAGTCTATTCTTGTTTTTAGCCTCTTTGTTACTCAAGAAGTATGCTTTTAACAGTTATTTTTAAATCATCTCCCCACATAGAGTATATAAAAATTATATACATCATTATATAACTGTGGATCTATGACATCCAAAAGATGCTCTTGTTTCTTTCCACTCACTATACCTTCAAGATCATTCTATATCAGTAGCATATAAACATATATATTTACTGAGAGATAATGAGATAATCTTTCATTATCTTTAGCTGTGCTGCCTTATTTAATTCAATGGAAATACAATACAAAATTTATTTAACCATTACCTTACTGATGAATTTTTTAAAAAAATTTTTTTAGAATTATATGCATACAACAGTGACTATCTTTATAAATTTGTTCATCTCACCCATATATAACTATGTCTGTCAAATATTTCAGCAGATAAATTGCTGGATCAAAAGTTGTGTTACATTTTATTAGTAATAGATATTGCCTAATAGAACTCCATAAAGTTTTATTAATATACATTCCTACAACAATGAATTCATGTCTGTTTCTTCACACCTTCACCTACCCAGTGAATTATCAAACTTTCTTATCTTTCTGCTCAAGTAGGCAAAAAGTGCTATATCTTTGTGGTTTTACTACACATTTCTTACACTTGTAGTGTGATTGAGCATCTTTTCATATATTCAAAAGTCATTTGAATTTCTAAATTTGGACTCTGTCCATTTTTCTATGCGCTGGTAGGTATTTTTCATACTGATTTGTAAGAACTGTTTTCACATTGAAGACATTTTGATATGATGTACATTACAACTTCTTATTTTTATGTTTTTATGTTTTGACTGGAATTTTTTAAATATTTTAGCTTCACTTCCTTTTGTTTATGGCTTCTATAGTCATATTTAGAGAGGATTTTTCTAGTGACAATTTTGCTTTGTTTTCTTATAGGGATTTTAATACTTATATCAAAACTTTGATTCATCTAGAATTTATTTTGGATACTCTTATTCAGACTTAGAATTGTAATTTTTAACTACCTCTGCCTCTTACATGTTATTCATATTTGGGGGGCGTTGTGGAGATAATAGATTAATAAAGAGAGAATTGACATGTTTTTTAACATCAAGTCTTTCTACCCAGGATCAAGATATGCCTTTTTATATGCTCAATTCTTCATTAGAGCCCTAGAGTACCATTATAAAATTTTTTTTTCTAGTTATATTTATTGTAATTAGATTAATTTTTTAGTCTATCATAAGTGAATACTTTTTCCATTATCTTATGACTGATTCATATTTTATAAAGCAAGACTCCTGATTTTTAGATCTCAAAATTGTGTCCAATATAAGAATTCTCATTTTACAATTTTTTATTTTTTATTTTAATTTTTTTCTGTGTCAGCATTTAATCATTATCCAGATTTTTTTTTTTTTTTTTTTTTTGAGTTGGAGTCTCACTCTGTCACCCAGACTGGAGCCGCGACCTGCTAGGCTCCAGCGATCCTTCCACCTCAGCCTTCCAAGTACCTGGAACTACAGGCGCACGCTACCATGCCCGGCTAATTTTTAAAAATTTTTATTGTAGAGATGAGGTCTCGCCAAGTTGCCCAGGCAGGTCTCGAACCCGCAGACTCAGGCAATCCACTCACCTCGACCTCCCAAAGCACTGGGATTACAGGCTGAGCCACTGAGTCTGGCCTATCCAGATTTTTTTAAAAGCATCCTTTTCATGAAGAAACAGTTTCTGAATCCCAGACCCTTGTGTTCTCAATCTAGCCAAAGTTTTCCTTCCACAAGGGATTTTCTTGCCCCCTTGAAAACTTATTACCTTCCTCTGCCATCATCAGTATTCATTTTTTCTTTAATCTAAAAATTGGTAATTAATAAATATTAATGGTGTTAAGAAGTCAGCACCTCTGAGCATACTTCTGGCAGACATTTAGTAAGAGTCTGAAGAGGGAATTCCCCAAAGGATGCTTTTTGAAAACTCTCACAGGATACTCCTCATACTCCTAGATGAAGAATCCCCAGACAGAGTCCCCACTATCTCATCTTAGTTCTTTTTTCTCTCCATAAAAGATCTCATTCATTCTAATGGTTTCAAGTAATACTTCCAAATGGATAAGTTCCAATTTTTCCATGACCTTACTGAATACCTATTATTTAACTTTTATTATTAAATAGAAATGTCCTATTGCAAGTGTGCATTGGTACATTTGAAACAAAGTTAGTTATATTCACCCTAACCTCCTCACTTCTCAAGGCTTTTCATTTAGTCTCCAGTAGCTTCAGTTCTTGGAGACTATGGGATTTTAAATGGGCAGTCAGGACTAAAGAAGAGGTACAAAGGCAGAGATCAGATGTATAAACTGAGCCAAAATGGAAATAGAAAAAATTGAGTGAGATTAGAAGAGAAGAGCTAGAATTTGTGAGTAACAGAATTACATGATTTCCACCTAGCGTTATCTGGTTCTAAGTATGGTTGATTCAAAGTGAGTTGAGGACCACACAGGCAATTCATTTCCATTACTGCACCATAAATACAGTTCTTAGGTCCATCGAACAGGTTCTCAAATCTGTTGACAACATGGACTTGGTTAGGACACGATTAGCCAGATTAGGGAAATGGAGTGATATAAAGTTAGCTTGTCAAAAAACAAAAACAAAAAAACAGGAACAAAAGGAAGAATGATGCCAGAAGACACAGACCAATATGTTCCTTTATCTTTAGATCACATTTTACTGACTGCTACATCTAGAATTCCTCTTACTATCAATTATTATCTCTACCCATTTTCCTCTCTTAAATATAGGCTTTCTTTTAATTTAGCAACACTCAGAATATATAATATTTCCATGTAAAAATGTTACTCGTCTATATTTATTTTCACAATACTCAGGTATGAAAAGGCATATTCTGTTATTACTATTTTACATATGGGGAAACTGAGACTTGACAGCCTAAGTAATGTTTCAATGTAGTTTAATAAGTGGTAGAACAATGCCTAGAATCCACACTTCCTGATTGCAACTCAGAGTTCCTTCCATTACACCCACCGTATCACTCAATAATGTAGGTATAATCTGTGACTAACAATATGGCAAGGACTGCCTTCTCTAAAATATTGCCTCTGCCCTTCACAGAAAATTATACCTCTGGATGGACGAAAGCACAACACCATCAGTTGGTGTCAAGTGACCTTGGTTTTAAAACTGTGCAGATGAGTTAATCTCACTGGCTTTCTATTCTTATTTAGCCTGTAGCTGTAAGAGGTTTAGAGTAGCTTTCTGAGGGCATATGTTAGCCTCAAGTTTTAGTTTTAGTGAACAGTGAGGGACTAAATCTGGAGAAAGCGTACGCGAAAACAACCCGAGAAGAAGCTATAGGCTGAGTCACGATGGGAAATAGTGAATCTATAGCCAGTGATCACATCTCAGTTCCTGCCCAAGAGACCTATATGTGGTACAGAACATTTATGATGGAATATCCATCCGGCCTGCAAACCCTACATGAATTTAAGACACTTTTGGGTCTGCAAGGTCTGAATCAAAAGGCGAATAAACATATTGATCAAGTTTATAATACCTTTGACATGAACAAGGTAAGACCTTTTACTTGTTATTTGGTATGAAAATGCTATGGTTCTGCATTCTTTCCTCTTTTTTTCCCCCTCTAAAATAGGCTTAGGTAAAATGTGTGCATCCCACTGAACAGAGAGGTCTTCAGACAACCCTCAGCTTGTAGGTAAGTGAGTCATTAAACACATTTAGCACTGACGGCATGAAAATAATTGGGAACCGGCTTCTCCCACCCTAGGAAATATTCTTCATGTAGGGAGTTATTTTAAAACCAAATTAAATCTTGGCATGGGATTCTCATTATATCTTTTAAATAAATCTAATAAGTGCAGATTGATTTACAAAGACTGTTTTCAAAGTATTTAATGCATTGGTGACATTTTTTAGAAAAGTAAATTACAGAACTCTGCTTTTAAAAGTGTGACTGCATCTAGATTGGCAGATAAAATCAATACAAATTAGCCAACATGTTGTCTATACTCAAATCAAAAGTTAAAATGCTTCATAATACTTTTTTCTACCCTATTTGACCAATTTAGTTTGGGGAAAATCAAAACAACTTAAAACGTCTTAAAATTCAGACGAATTTCAGTTTCTGAAGATTGTTACTTAACTATTGTCTTGGATTTACTCAGTCCTGAGGAGCTGCAGTCTATTTAATTTCATTTACTTTTTAAAAAAATACAAGAATGAGAAAAGAAGATATGGAATAGAAAAAAAAGTTATACAAAAAACCAACAACCTAAAATACCAGGCTCAAGTTCTGCTGGCTTTTCCTTGTGTGTTTATTTTACCTATAGATTTGTCTATTTCATAATGTGTAAATGATGGCTAGAATAAAAGAGAAGGGAAGAGTACTACTATGAGAAAAATAGATATTTAGAAAGCTGTGCAAGTGATAATAAAAGAGAAAGAAAGGGCAATGAATGGAATAAAATTAAAAACAACTGGCTATCCTATAGGATGTATAGTATTTAGCACATTCCTTTTATCTTTTTTCCAAAGCCAAGAGACAGGTGACTTAGAAGGAGGTAACAAGCAGGAACTTGGGCAAGTTAAACCTGAGCAAAATTAGCAGCTATTTAAAGCCTTGTAGCAACATCAGGAACTTTCTTTTAGGACATGATTGTCTTTTGTGCTTTTATATCAAACATGAGTTAAGCACTGCCTGTTTTAGCATGACAGTGTTTTCCTCCTCATCAATTTGACTTAGTGTGGATGCAAGCAAAGGAATCTGCTTACAAGGAGCTTACAAATAAGTGGGGGAAATTAGGCAGATTCTGCTTTTGTTCTTAACCCTAAAATATGTTCTAGATACTATACCCTTGTTGCCACATTGTCTCTATTTGCTCTGCCTGTGTGTATATTAGCTCTCAGTCTTGTTTTTCCTCTATGTGTCTCTCTCTCTCTCTCTCTCTGTCTCTCTCTCTCTCTCTCTCTCTCTCTCTCTCTCTCTCTGTCTCTCTCTCTCCCCCTCCTCTTTCTGTGTCTGCTGTAAGCAACCCAATTTCAGGATGACAGGCTGTTGCTCTAGACAGCAGCCTCTCAGGCTCTGACAGGACTCCTGAGAGGTTAGAAAATGAACAGTCACCAAGTTCTGTAGTTGCTCTCCAAAGGTGTTGATATCATATCCCATGCCTGCGATTTTGTTGTTGGCCCAGTGTTTGTGAACAAACTGTGCACATCAGTGGTTCACATGCGGGAAAAGGAGCCCGTGGAAAGGAGGGCAGGGTGGAAACCAGGATCTGTTACCAAAATGAAGCCCGCTGTCAAGGAAGCAGGGGCAGTGTCCAATCCCGCATCTTGGGATGTGTGTGCCCTTGGTGTGGGAGCCCTCTCAGTGTGCACCACAAGAATGGCCAGACCCATCCCAGGAGCTTAATCTAGATGGCTTGGAAGTTCTGTTGATATTTGTGATGTGTCAAAGAGATTTTATGTGTTTGCTGAGGAAACAAGTGAGCCTAAGCAGTAATGACATCTGCCACAGAAGATGGAATCTCAAGATAAAATCAGGTGGTAAAATGAGAAAAGAAAGGATCGTTCATTATCAAGGGATACTGAGAAATGTACAACCATGCACAGAAAAACAAATAAAAACCTATATATTGAATTAGATGAATTAATAAAACTATCGCCTGTCCAGAATCCCTGAGGATTTGCTCTTTCTATGGTTTTTCTCAGCAGTTTGTTTTTTTAATAAGTTCACCTTCACTTTTTAAAACATTTAATTTTATTTTTTTTAATTTAAAGATGTGGGGTACAATTCAGGATTAGGTAGATAGGTGATCATCGTACAGGTAAAGTTTGGGTAAATTTTATTGCATATGTTTGAGGTATAGAACATGATGTTATAGAATACATATAGTTTTAAGGGTTAATATAATAAACTAGATTAACACACCTAGTATCTGACAGTTAACCTTATTTTTTTATGCTTGTGGCAAAAGTAGCTAAAATCTACACATTCATCATGAATCCAATATACAGAACAGTCATATCACCTATGGTCATCATGTTGCACATTAGATTTTTAGACTGGTCTGTCCCACATATCTGCTACTTTGTATCCTTAAGCTTGCATCTCCCAGTTTCCTCTTCTCCCACCTGATCTCTGGTAGTCACTGTTTTGTTTTCTCTCTATATATTAATGTTTGAATTTTTTTTAGATTCCACATATAAGTGAGATCATGCAATGTATACTTTTTTCTTTTTCTTTTAAGTATTCTGGATGGACTCATCCTAAAACGTGTTTCATACTTCCCTATCTCAAAATGCTGATAAAGCATTTTCTTGCTGTATCAGAGTCATTATTTGCATTTTATGTAATACCATAAGGCGCCCATGCACTATTGAAGTCTCTGGAGCTGTTTCCTAATGTTAAAAACCCTGAAAATATGTCCTTTTGTCATTGTGTTTGCTTTTTATTATTTTTTTCTGTCTCTTGCCTGCTGTCAGATTCACATCTCACAGGTTTCTTGTTGTTACAATACTAATAAGCTTCTGATATTTTTTTAATGTGCCATTTCTTACTTGACTTTGGCTTGTACTCAGGCTAGCTAAGCCTATTAGAGCAGTGTCTAAAAGAAAAGTAAATAGATCCTGAAGTTTACAGCATAAATGTTATAACAAGTTTTTGGGCTGATCATACAGCATTGTGGATTTCTCCTTGGCACTCAATAACAATAATTAATACTTTCTGAGTGTCAAGGATGTGGAGAAAGGAGAACTCACGTGAACTGTTAGTGGGAAAGTAAATTAGTACAACCATTGTGGGAAACAGTATGGAGGTTCCTCAAAAACTAAAAATAGAACTACCATATGATCCAGAAATTCTACTTCTGTGTATATATCCAAAGGAAATGAAATCAGAATGTTAAAGGGATATCTGCACTCCCGTGTTTGTTGCAGCCTTATTCACAATAGCTAAGGTGAGGAATTAGCCTAAGTGTCAATAAATTAAGAAACCGTGGTATATGTTTACAATGGAATACTATTCAGCCTTAAAAAACAAAGAAATCCTGTCATTTTCAACAATAGAGGTAAACATGGAGGACACAGAAAGACAAATGCCACATAATCTCACTTATATGTGGAGTCTAAAAAGTTGATAAAGAAGCAAAGAGTAGAATGGTGATTGCCAAGGACCATGGGGTTGGAAAGAGGAGTATCTGGGCAGATATTGCTCAAAGGGTGCAAAGTTTCAGTTATGTAGACTGAGTAAATTCTGGGCATCTTGTATAGCACAGTGCCTATGGTTAATCATAATATATTCCATACTTGAAAATTGCTGAGAAAGAGAATTTTTTTTTTTTTTTTTGAGTGGGAGTCTCACTCTGTCACGCAGGCTGGAGTGCAGTAGCATGCTAACAGCCACTGCAGCCTCGGCCCACTGGGCTCAGGCGATCCTTCTGCCTCAGCCTTCCAAGTAGCTGGAACTACAGGCACGTGCCACTATACCTGGTTAATTTTTTTATTTATTGTAGAGACAAGGTCTTGCCAAGTTGCCCAGACTGGTCTTGAACCCCTGAGCTCAGGCAATCCTCTTGCCTCAGCCTCCTAGAGTTCTGGGATTATAGGCATGAGACACCATGCCTGACCAGAAAGAAAATCTTAAATGTTCTTAACCACAAAAAAAATGCTAAATAAGTGAGGTGATGGACTTGTTAATTCGCTTGATTTAATCATTTCACAATGTGATATACACATTTCAAATGTGTATATATGTGTGTGTGTGTGTGTGTGTGGGTGTGTGTATCAAAACATGTTGTACACCATAAACATATGCGACTTCTATTTGTCAATTGTCTCATAATAAAGCTGAGAAAACACTTTCTGAGTGCTTCTGATGTGCCCAACACTGTCCCAGGCACAGTACACAGATGAATATGCTCAGTGATCACTATAATGGAACCTACTTCATGATAATGGCCATGATGGTGGCACCCCAGACCTCTAGGGAACGTAATTGACCCATGCCCAAAATACTTTGCTTTAAAATCCAAAACTGTGCTTGCCTTGAGTCCATGCTCCTGGACTTGGACTACCCCCAGTGACTGAGTGCAGCTCAAGGCTGACCCATTCCCAACAGAACTGAGACTTCTGTCTGTAGGCTTTGGCTGAAGGATTCCTTGGAAGCTTTGCAGGACCTTAGGCCATAGGAGTGTCTAGAATGCTGCTCCTAACCGTCTCTTCCTGTCTTCTTCATGGGGTCAAGTTAGCATCCTGGTCTGTCTGCTGGTGCAACCTTCCCGACTCCCTGTTTCCTTCCACACATGCATTTCCCAAAATAAGATCCTCAAATTGAGGTCAATAGGTCTAATATCCTAAGAAGGCTCACCGAAAAAACCAGAGAAAATGTAAGATTACAACAAAAGAAACCAGAAAAATTTCCCAGTCCCATCAGGTACAAGTTTTATAAGGGTCAGCACAATGCACAGAAAGAGATCAGCCTACATAGATAAGAAATTTTATAACAGAGATAAAGAGAATATATTAAAATCTTCAAGAGAGAGGGGAAAAAAAC